TTTGTAACAAACAAATTTACCGGCAATGTGTTTTTTTTTTAAATAATATCATAAAATATTATCTCTACAGACCTTAATGCAATGATATAAGTTATTGAATGAGAGGGCTTGGCTCATCAGTAGCGAATCCTCTCATCGGTTTCGCCAATGTGTCCGGTCATGTCCACAGATTCACCAAACACTTCTAAGCTGCCTTCCATAGAAAATAAGGCTATATGCCAAAACCAATACAATACAATAGTAAAGCGATCTAGAAATTAATCTGGAGAAACCGCTGAAAGGGTTCACTAATGATGAGCCAAGCCCTCTCATCAATAACTTATATCATTGCAGTAAGGTATGTAGATATAATATTTGATGATATTATCGAAACGAAACACATTGCCAGTAAATTTATTTGTTACAAATTTTAAAGAAGTAATTAACAATTGAATTAGAAACACGAAATATCTACCATTAGAAATTAATATAATTCAATAATAATAGTTTCGAGTTCTCATAATTCAATAATTCGAACGCACTTGTTTTAAAACAAATCAATTTGGGGTGTTGATGAATATATAAAGTAAAATTTGAAGCAAGAACTCTACGATTGAAAAATTGAATAAATTGAAAATAAAAATATAACAACTGATATTTGAAGAAAAAAATAATTCGAGTTTATATATTGCGATTAAAATTAAATTAGGCATATCCTGACCACTAACATGAGCGCATATATGTTGTGATGTGTTTTATCCTGTAAGATGACTGTAGTGTGGCTTGTTAGTTGCAGTCGTTGTGGCCACAATGTTCAGAGTGGGTTCAGGCGTGATTGGGATCGCACAAAAGGACAAGGCATGTTGGATGTCACCACAGAGATGACGAGAGGGTGAGTGAAGCCGACGCCGATCAAAGCAGGTCTGTGTAGGGGGGTCTGTCAATCATCGTGTCTCAAAGCGGACTGCTCTGTTTTAGCAAGAAGGGGGCACACCTGGTAACTCCGACATGTTTTTCGGACCTTTTCCTGTCCTGGCGCCGGCTGTCATTCAATCGAATTATATTTTGTCGTGCATTACATGATGGCCGAACTATAATCATTAATTAAAATATTAATATTTCCTTTATCGAAACTGATTTTCCGATTTAAAATATGCAACTATATATCTTATCTGAATAATAAAGGTATGTACAACAAATAAATATTTACAAGCTTGTAATTATTGTATAAATATTTGTATATATTGTTTGATAAAGAGAAGCAAAAAATAAAATAAGTGAGCGTATAATTTCAAAGAATTCTGGAAACCATAAATCAAGTATATAAAATACAGATTGGAAGGACCAATAAGTGATCGAATTTCACACAAAGATTGTCCAATACCATTTTATTCTGGTCATTCCATTTCGCTGCCATTTTTCAAAGAGCTTCGAAATACGTGCAGGGCATGTCGCCTACTTTTATAAATATGGATTTTCCTCCACCGCCATATAAAATATTTGGATTGATATAAAAGTTTGACTTTTCTTTTGAAAAGTAAAAAGCCAATTCTCAATTAAAATTGTACCAAACATAAAATAGTTCCTGACAAATTTAAATATACTCATATTTTTATTTATTGGCTATTTTATTAAAATATTTTTTAGACTGCCGCTATATCTTATAAATCTTGATTTTTAAACGGCTTTTTAGATATTTTACAAAGTATTTACCAATTTTATTATAGATATTTCTAGCTTTTATCGAAATATATTTTAATTTAAATTAAAATTTGTCTTTTAAAGACATTTTTATATCCATTTTTTATTCAAACATTATAAAAAAAGCATTTGAGATTTTCTCAAATAAATAAAGTTAACCACTTTTTAAAATTGCAACATATATATTTTTTCTCACAATGACTTTCTTTTTATTTCAAAACTCTAGCTTTCAAGCAATATTCCCTCTTCAACGGGCTTAATAAAAAATATCGACTATATTCTAAAGAAATATTTACAAAGACATACGCGCGCAGCGTGGATATTTACAACTGAAATTTTAAAATCGATATGTAATTCAACAATGTTATGGGATATGTCTATTTTCATTTTTAGGGTAACCAGAACCTATAAAATTTATATATTGATTTCTTCTAAGATATCGGTATTGTGATTACAATTATTACAATTATTTTATTTCCAAAGCGCTATATCCCGTAAGGGATACTTGCGCCAAACAAGGATAAAAGTTTATTTACATAAGTTATTTACATTATTCAACGCATAAAAACATTAGAGATCCAGATTTTGTAGAAAGTTTAGAATGTATTTACAAAATGAATTAAACTTTAAATATGATTTTTTATCGGAAATCAAATCGTTAAGTTCACAAACAACTAGTTCATTCTTCATTCTATAATCTTGAAATGCTGGGCAATCGATCAGTAGATGTCTTGAGGTTCTTTCCTCCATTCCACAAAAGCAACTTGAATCCTCCACTGCCTTTATTCTATTCAAAAAACTTCTGAAATTTCCGTGGTTTGTAACAAATTGAGCATTATAAAAATTTGGACGAAAGTATTTAGGGATTTCTCGAGGAAAAAAGCTTAAGAAAGTATTATTTGCTTCGTTTTTCAGAACATTCATTCTTGATTTGAGAAAGGTATCTATAATTCCTGGAATAAATGGGTCATATATTTGTTGATCATCTGTGGATAAGTTTCTCAGATCACAGATATCATGATTCTGGATTCGATAAAGTCTGAGATCAGAGGAATGTTGGCCAAACTATGAACACAACTATATGATGTGGATTTATAGGATTGTATACACCATGTTAGTATTTGATATTGGGTTGAATTTAATTTTTGTAAACATTTTTTATTTAAATATTTGAACCAAATTTCGGCTCCATATGTAAGTATTGGTCTGAAAATGGATTTATATGAAGTTAGCCTTTTCTGGGTGCTTAGATCCCAAGATTTCCCACAAATTGAGAATTGATCATTTTTAAAACGTTTTGTACGATTTACTATTTCTTCTATGTGGAATGTAAAATTTATTTTGTTTCTTCTTCTGTGATTGGCAATTATTATTCCTAAAATCTTGGTCTTCAGAGTTGGCATGATTATTTCATTATTAAATTTGATTGGGATTTTTTCTTTGTTATGTAGATAAAGTATATTAGATTTTCTAGGCTTATTTCAAGTTTGGTACTCTTACACCATACATCAATCGTATTTAATGCCTTTTCTATGACTAATTTCAGTTCTTTGCAATTGTTGTGCCAGCATACAATTGATACATCATCCGCATAACATACCACTTCACTATTAGGAACTTGATATTTGATTAAAATATCGTTTAGTAATATTATCCATAGTAGTGGAGATAGCGGGCCACCCTGCGGACAACCCTTTGTAATTTGTTTATTTATTGTTAAGTTATCATATGTAAATTTCGTTTTTCTCGATTTGAAATATGATTGAATAGTCCTTATTAAACTTTCCGGCAAATTATCTTCATCTATTATTTTTAAAATCGCAGGCCACCATGCGTTATCAAAGGCTGCCGCAATATCTATTGTGACTAGAGCTGTCAGTTCTTTGGTTTTGTGTTCCATTATTATATCGATTATATTATTCAAGGCTGTAATAGTAGATTTTGACTTGATGAATCCATGCTGTTTGGGACTTAATAAATTGTTTTGCATATAATATTCATATATTTTCTTTCTAATAAATTTTTCGTAGATCTTAGACAGATTAGATGTTAACGAAATAGGTCGATAGCTTTTTAATGATTCGACGTTAGATTTGTTTGGTTTTATTAAAATTTTTAAAACTGTCGTTTTCCATTCCCTTGGAAAAGATCCCATCGGAATACATTTATTTAATAACGAATGTAGTACCGGAAGTAACAGAGTCTTTGCGTATTTTATCATGTTATTACTAATGTTATCTTGACCTGGTGACTTTTTAACATTGCTATTGTCAATTATATATTCTATTTCTTCGGTATCAATATGGATAGCGCTTGAATTCCTCAGAAAAGGTTCGTAAATTCTAACCAATTCTTGTTGATGGTTGTCTTGATCAATTCTGTCATCTGCAATTAATACATTTATTAGGTCTGTAATGCGTTTTTCTTTTTCTGATTCTTGATTGTTATCTATTATGGGAAGTCCTTTTTGTTTGTTTGAGGATTTGAGATTTTTGAAAATTTTATATGCGTTACCAAAAGGATCATTTGATTCATTTTCTTCGATGAAATTTTTCAAACTATTTCTCTTTGCTTTCTTTATCATATTATTAAATTTGTTTCTGACTTGTTTAAATCTTGTTGCATCGATAGTCTTACTGTGATAAAATAAGTTTCTTACATAATGAAAATGTGTTTTCATTTGTTCAAGTTCTTTATTCCACCATTTTATACCTGCATCGTATGTGTAGTTGTTTGATTTTACTTTTAATGAAATGTAAGCTGCTTCTATTATGTTATCCGTGAGTTTGTTTACAACTTTATCAATATCCGTGCAATTTTCCACCATATTTGCCTCGTCTTTTAATTTGATAAATTCTTGATACTTGAGATTTATGGAAAAATGTGTCCTGTTGGCGTGTTTTTCATTGAATTTCCATGTATAATTGTGTTTATCTATTATATAATTAAATTTTGAGTGAATTTCAAATTGAATAGCCAAATGATCAGAAATATTCGTCAGTGATGAGGTGGTCCAATGTCTGATCATATTTATTGAAAGTCTATTCGAGATTGTTAGATCTACTATACTTGCCCCTCTACATGTTGAAGTTTTATCGTTGTGAATGTACAAGTGATTTTCATTTATTATTGTTTGCAATTTGTAACCATTTGAATTTGTTATTTTGTCGAACCAGATTGGATGACGGGAATTGAAATCTCCGCATAGGACTATTGGGTTATTTGAAAAAGTATCAATCAAGTTTCTTATAAAATCTAAGTGAGTATCATTACAGGAATTGGAATGAAAGTAAAAATTTGCGATTACTACAAACGAATTTGAGGTTGAGGCTGGTTAAACCGTTTGGTTTACAACCACTACGACCCGGGTTCGATCCCCGCATTGGACACTTTTTTCTGTTAAAAAAAAAAATGCTCCAATGGCCCCCCGATTCTTGCAAAAGTCCAACCCCACCACCGAGTGCAAGTAACCAAACGGGGCACTGGCACATTTGTAAGTGCAAAGTCGAACTGCTTTCACATGTGTAGACATGTGGTGCGCTTACAGTAAAAAAGCAGTCGCTAACTACCCACCATGATTTTCATGGCCTGTACCACGTGTACTAGGGATAAGCAAAAAAAAAAAAATTTACAATGATTGTTGCTGTGTAAATAATTTCTGAAGTCTTTGAATAAATTATTGGTGAGTCTAAATCGAATATAACCTGTTTATTTAAAACATATGGTTCCTGAAGTAGTATAATTCGTTGAAATAGTAAGGTCGTTTAAAGCTGTCATTTTTTCTAATATTCTGTTGTAAACATTTTATGTTTCCTCTATTTGGTAGTGCAGTGATCACCATGTTTACACATAACTAAATTCTTTATTCATTCCTCTTCTGAACCGATGAGATATTGAGTTCTTCTCACTGTTCTATCAACCTGCAATTTATATTGAGGACAGTCATTCGTTTTTGGTTTATGGTTAATCGGACTATTCCTGAGTCTTGGATTCTTTGAACAGTTATGACATCTTAGCTCTTTTGTACAGACGTGATTGCCCTGGGTTCCACAGATGCAACATATTTTTACATTTGGACATTCTTTTGTTTTATGGTCTGGATTAAACTGAAAACAATTTTGACATTGTTTTACTAGGATTTTATCTTGTATCTGACAACGTTCTAGGTCTGTATATAATGTATTGTTCATTCTTTTCATAAGTTGATAGGCTTTTGGGGAAACTCTCAGGACTATGCTTTGAGTTGGTGGTGTGTTAGATTTCATTACGAATAATATCTTGATTTCATGATGACTGATGGTAAATCTATCTTCCTGTTTATGCTATTATATTCATTATAAATGAGAGATTCTAAAAGTAACTGATGATATTTATTTTTAATATTTTTGTTGTGGCATTTAGTTTCTGCTATGTTGAATTTGTGATCGGTCTGAGTAAAATGTTGATGAATCATAGAAAGTTGGTCTTTTGTTCTGATAAAAATATTGTGTTCGTTAAGTCTTATTTGTATTGATCTTCCTGTTTCACCTATGTAGGTAACATTATGTTGGTTGCCCTAAAAATGAAAATAGATATATTCCATAACACATTGTTAAATTACATATCAATTTTAAATTTTCAGTTGCCAATATCAACGCTGCGAAGGTATGTTTTTGTGAATATTTCTTGTAGGATATAGTCGATATTTTTATTAAGCCCGTTGAAGTACGATTATGGCTTGAAATCTAGCGTTTTGAAATTCAAAAAAAAATTGTGATAAAATATTTTGTGTGTGTAATTTTAAAACGTTTCACAATTTTACCATAATAAAGTTAACCACTGTTTAAAATGGCGTTATATTTTTCTATATTCCCAGTACAGGATACTTACCAGCTTTACCTTTAACCATTTTCATAACTTTATATTTTTTTCCAATGAATTTTATAGGTTTAAAGTAAACACATCACATAAATTAGAACTTCTTTAGAATGCATCGATATTCATTCAGGAATATCAACTAATATTACCATTGAAACGACGCTTCTCAGCCGTCGATGTTTGCGTACAAGGTCTCTAAGAAAACAATATGTGTTCGTTGTGGATACAGCTTAGTTCAGTATATTTATTTTTAGAGCTTTATAAAGTAGATTAGTAACTATTAAAAAGCACAAGTGCTTTTTAGATGGTAGAGTGCCATCTAGTGGAACAGAAATCAACTTAACATTGATATAACCTGTTCCCTGATATTTGGCCAACCCAATTTCTTGTTAAAAAAGAAGAGACATCCTGAACGTGTTTCGCGCTGTTGACGCTCGTCAGTGTGGAGCAGGCTGTACCTCTGCGACCAAAAAGCCAATAAATGGGTATTTAAGGCCAAACATGCGTAAATTCGTTTAACACATGAAAGAACAATAGAAAAAAAAAATAGGAAAAGGTCAGGTGTTTATATTAAAAATAAAGAATACATATCCTGATCAAAAGCATATGTCCTTTTTAAATGGCAGAAAGCCATCTAGTGGGACAGAAATCAACTAAACATTGATTTAACCTGTTCCCTGATATTTGACCAATCCAATTTCTTGTCAAGAAAGGCCATCCACTAACGGCTTTCGCGCTGTTGGCGCTTGTCAGCGTGGAGCAGGATATTTATATTATTATCATATATGCTATTTTTAAAATTTTTATCCGAGTTATCCGGGTTTTATCCGAGTTAAAGTTTGCCTAACGAATATTATTGATAATAATATTCCGGAACACACAGTATATTATGATAATAATATTCGTTACATTATAAATTTATATAATATATAAAATATATTTTTCGCGACAAAACATATCAACTCTCTCTACTGAATTTTTTTTAGAGGTATATATAAATAATAATTTCTAGAATATACTACATGATCTTAGCCAAAAGGTCGAGAAATGATATTTTATATATAGAGATGACCTGGCTTCGTGTGTCTTCTGCTCGAATGAATGTTTCGCTAATAGAATATTGTCACGAAGATAAATAAAGCAAGGGCAAGTTTGTGAATAATCAATTTATTATAAGGGGTATTTATAGAGAGAGAGAGAAAGTACAACTTACCCCAAGAGTAAGATAATCCTAATGAATGGGTACAGCCACCGTCCCGTTTTCCTTATTTTCAGCTCAGCTTCCGAAAACCCCTCACACCTGTGGTCCCCCCGGGGCCCAGGGATGATTGAAAGGTGTCCCATCTGGATGCTTCTTTACAATATTGCTCCTGCCTACTGAAAATTAGTTTCTGTCTTCGCCCGTGGTTTGCTTTAGTGAATATTTCCCTAAAGAATTTTGTTTATGTCAATCAAGCATGATACAGCAATAATGTCATCATCATTTCTGACTAAAAAATAATTGTTGCTCAGTACTTAGTTAATTATAATTTTTCTTGATTGAAAGTGCGACAAAAAACTCTTCCATATTTAACTCTCTGTCCTGTTCAAATTTCAGCGAGATTAGTTACATATTGAGGGCGTGCATAGCCGACAAACATATATATATATATAAATGAAAAACAATAGAAAAAAATAATAAAAAGATCAGTTGTTCATATTAAATACAAAGTAGGCATATCCTGATCAATAGCACATGTGCTTTTCAGAAGGCAGAGCGCCATATGGTGGAACAGAAATCCACTAAACATTGATTTAGCCTGTTCCGAGATATTTGGCCAACCCAATTTTTTGGTAAATCAAGAAAATCCATCCACGAACGCGTTTCGTGATGTTGGCGCTCGTCAGCGTGAGGTAGGCTGTACCACTGCGACCAAAAATAATTTTGGTCCCAGTGGCTTCTTAAGAAACCAAAAAATGGGTATTTAAGGCCAAACTTACGTGAATACGCTTAGCACTTGAAAAAACAATAGAATTTGGTCGCAGTGGTACAGACTACTCCACGCTGACGAGCGCCAACAGCGCGAAACGCGTTCGTGGATGACTTTTCTTGATTTATCAGGAAATTGGGTTGGCCAAATATCAGGGAACAGGCTAAATCAATGTTTAGTCGATTTCTGTTCCACCAGATAGCGCTTTTCTTTCTGAAAAGCAAATGTGCTATTGATCAGGATATGCCTACTTTGTTTTTAATATTGTCAAGTAGCTCCATCCAGATGGGACACCTGTCAATCATCCCTGGACCCCGGAGGGAGGATCACAGGTGTGAGGGGTTCTCGGAAGCTGATTTGTAAATAAAGAAAACGGGACGGTGGCTGGCGCCGTTCATTAGGATTATCTTTTAACTTGGGGTAAGTTGTACTCTCTATCTCTCCCTATAAATACCCCTTATAATAAATTAATTTATTCCCAAATTTGCCCTTGCTTTATTTATCTCCGCGACATATTTTGGTGGAAACGCTGGGTAACGAGACAGTCACCAGACGAAGTCGTCACCTTCAAGGATTGCAACCAGAGCTTTCTACAGTGCTTGCTTTTCCTGCTCGGAAGAAAATGGAGAGAGAAGAAAACCGACCATTCTGCCATCGGTGGAGAGACCCTACTGTCTTCTCGGGAGAACGTGGGGAAGATTCGCTCGTTGGCTGAGCGACTTCCAGCGTGTGGCACGTTACAACAAGTGGGATGACTCCATGTGTCTGGCCAACGTCATCTTCTACTTCACTGGCACAGCGAAGTGCTGGTTCGAAAACTTCGAGGAAATCTTGAATTCGTGGGAGGAATGTCAAGCAGGCCGACGCCACCCTCGGAGACTGGACGAACCAGGATGCGCCCAGGGAGCCACGAGAATCGGCTCGTACCCCACACGAAGCGCGCCAGCTGCGCCTGCAGCCGGTCGATGGTGGTGTCAGGTGAAAGGTAGCCGTGAAGGTAGTGCAGGATGGAACCCAGAACCAGGCTGTTGGCCGCGCGGGCATGACCTACTCGCGACAGGCTGCAGGTGAAGGATGACCACCTCGCCATGGCTCGTTACAGCAGCCCCGGATGCCAAGTCCTTCGCCGTCTCCTCGGAGATGTTCAGGTCACTGAGGATCCACGCACATTCTTTGCGTGCTAAGGCTGCGATGATCTGGAGCTGGCGGCACCGCTCTTCGGGAGCATGAGAGACGTCATCAGGAGAACGTACATTTGGATCTCAGCCATATTGCGCCCTTCTTGGGAAGATTCGTACGCCTTAGGTTTGTCCTGCTTTCTGGATGGAGAAGTACTCAGGCCGACCGCCTCTTCTCTTTTCTCTGTTTCACTGTCTTGCGACGACGGAAACAGCCGGTGGTAGGGCAGCAACATGAGGAGGAGCGGCGTTCGACTTGGAGGGTGGCTTGCTAGGGACAGCCGTGGGCACAAGGGGAGCATCCACGGGGAGCAACAGGTGTCTCTCCTGGATTTCGTGGGCAGTTAGCGCGTTTGTGACCTTGCCTATTACACAGGAAGCACT